CTCCCAGGTCAAAGTAATTGTCTGTTTTCTCTATTTTGATTACCAATAGCTCTCCAGAGCCTTAGTAGCAGGAATCTTTCCCATCACTTGTTATTGGATCTTTCTAAACTTGGAGATAGATAATTATCTGTGGTCCATGTTACCTTCAAGCCACTTTGTTTATTGTAGGCTCCAGAGCCCTTCAAAGATGGTCTTGAAATTCAATGGCAAGCCAGTTATAATGGTAGTAATGGTGCAATTTTCCACCAATTTCCAGCAAGAAGGCAAAAACTGTGTTGGGCTTCTGATAACCTTAATACCTGTATGTGTTTTTTTTATTTAAAAAAAAACCTTCTAAATTTCCATAAATTAAATATTGCCCATACTCATCTTTACATCTTTTGGCTGCCAAAAAATAGAAATCCGCCTCCAGCCACAAACTTTACCCCCTCACCCCATTTTAGTCAGAAATCCCACAGGATTAAACCTCAGACTTCCTACGCTTGTGCTTAGTGAGCTATGATCCCAATCTGTGGAAACTTCTGTTGGCCTTTCCTTATACGTATTTTGGAGAAGCTTCTGTAATGTTTTGTTTTTTCTGTGTTAGGCCAAGTTGCCTCTATGAGTCACCCATACCAAGTAATAGATTGAGGATTAATGGTCTTTGTATTTTCAGAACTTGGAGTGGGACTTTGCCTCTAAATCTAAATATAGCCTGATCCTAACAACCCCTAACATTAGCTATGCATTTGATTCATAACTTCATTTTGTGACTGAGTTTGAACGTCAGCCCTCCTGGTCTAAACATCTGACCTAATGTGTGGATTTACTCATTTGTTCTCCATCCTGTGTTTTTGCAACATTTTGCTTAAGTAAACATTCTGGAGGGCTTGCGAGTACACACATTATTTTGTGACATTTTGAGTGGACTTAATAAAGGCATTACCCAAGTATGGATTTTGGATTCTTTTCCCATAAGCCTTTGATTGCTTTTCCTGAATTACTGTGTTTCAGCTGCTAACTTGGAGGGATTTTGTTAATGTTTTATTGTTTATAGTTTAAGTATAGTGGATATGTTATTACGTTTTTATGTAAACAGCCCCGAGTATAAACTTTGGGGTCTGGGAAAAATATGTAAATATTATAAATAAATATAAGTATACATTCTCAGCCATTTTCCCAAGCTGTGCCTTTCACTCTAGTGTGAAACTTTATCTGGATCAGAGCTGTGACTCTACCCATTAAACAGAAAAGGGTTAACATAACTTGGATGATAACTTTTAATACCAGAGAGCTTTCCAGTCTAATAGCTTGCCTACACGTTCTCTCTCTTCTACTAACACAATCAAAGTAAGAACCAGTCAGAGATACTATTTGGGTCACTGGTGCCTCTCTGTTCCCCACTGAGGCCAGTTCCTCAAGCACTGTAGCTGTTATTACATTGCTCTTGCTTGTGTTTATCAATGTCTACAATCCCCTCTCTTGCTTTTAGCACTCTCCATGCAGAAGGAAGGTCTCTCTGCAAAACCCCCACATCTGTTTACAAATGTAGAAGGATGAGTGTTTCTCAGAGATTTGTTTCAAGGCCCTGTTTATTGGTGGGGGTAACACAGCACCTAGTAATGGAGGTTATAATTAACCACTCTCATATGTTGCTGTAGAGCTGAGGAATTGCTGTTTATATTAGAACGCAAGGTTCACCAGCATTCTAAATATTTACACATTCAATGTTTATGGCCTTTCTGGGCTTCTATTGCTCATATAAATCAACTATGCCCTGATATTTATGAACAGAGATGCAACAAAAGGTTCTTCTGAAAAGTCTTCATTTTTCATTTTGATCCAGAAGTGCACCCAGTTTTTGCTGATTGCAAGGCTTTCACACTTGTGGTTTGGTTATTTTTTTACTGAAACCAACAGAGGACATCTTCTAGGTGAGAGAATGCTGGGCACAGATGTCCAGACAAAGTCAGAAGAAAAATAAATCCCATGTAGGAGGAGTACACCATTCCTTATGCAGCCTACTGGTTGCTGCCTGCAATCCAGAGATAGCTTCTTCCACGGGGACAAAATCTCTGGCTGCTCTGGAAGATGTTTTTCCCCTCTGGTTTTGAAGGAATGCAGGGTTATATGCTGCCTCTGTCCCTTTTGTCCTTGTGGGAAGCTGCCTGCCAGCCATGCACTTGTGTTCCTAATGAGTATGACTAGGTGAAATAGAAAAGCAAAGGTGGAAATTTAAGCAGCAATCTCCACCTCAACGTACCAGCCTGAATATCATGCAGTTTGCTTCCAAATAAGCGTGTTACCCTGCCCAGTTAGCTTTCTAAAATAGGATTGAATCTGGCAGAGGGGAGTTAATGTCAGCCAGAACATTAAAAGAAGGGATAGGCTGAATTTTGTGTCAAAAATATACCATTTGTTTGTGGCCATCAGAATCATTCACCACAAGCAGAATATGAAATTTTGGTCTGCTGATGGCTCTATTCCAACTTTTTAGATGTTGGAAATATTCCAATATTCTCCAGTATTCTCTCCAAATATGTTGCACCACAATCTGCAACCACCTAAACCAGCAATCTCATTAAAAACTAGGATAAAAAAGTAAAAAAGAGTTTTAATCAAAGTTAAAAGAACATATAAAAAAGCAGCAAGTACTGACAGGAAAGATATTATAAAAATATGATAGAAGGAAAAGGCAGGGTAATAAACACAACTACTCAAAATATTTTATCAGTTTTTTAAACAAATTATTAGAAATGGTTTCTAGAAATCAGATCTATGCTTGCTGGTGTCATGTTATTCTTTAATTCTTTTCCAAAACCTGGATTTTTATACTTTCAAGAAAATGAAAGAATCATGCTGCCAATGATTAAATTAACACAATATTTGAAAGCTTCATCAAATTTGAGCTCATGATCTTACAGATAGATATGTTCTTGGTGTACAGCTATTGCTCTGCTATAGAGCTTTTTGAAAATAAAGCCATAAATCATTTTAAAGGAGATATATATAGAAAATAGATGAAAACCAACCAGATACCCTAGAACAGGATGAGGTATTTACTTATCTCTCTTGGGAATAAACCCAGTGGAAAAAAGTGAGATGTACTTTTGAATAGACAAGCATAGTATTTTATTCTATATATGAATGAAGTACAAGTTCTTACAACCATCAAACCAAATCTCATTCATCTTCAGATGACCTCTAGAACAAGTAATTTATTTGCTATATTTTTGTATCTGTCAATTTTGCTTATATCTTTGCTTCCAATGATTAGAGCCTCTTCAAGGGTAATTTCCAGTTTGGAAGAAATGTTTCCCATAAATCACTGGAGCATATTGCAGGGAGAACAGAATTTGAACTTGGCCCAGTTTGGCATCATATGACAAGGTTGTTTTGTTCATGGCCTTTGGAAGGTCAGATCTGCAGCTGTATTTGACAAGCCAAAGATGAAGAAATGAACTGATCTTATATAAAAGCAGAAACTGTCCTGTTCCTCTCTATAAAAGATGCTTTGAGGCTGGGATAGATAACATGGTGCTCACTGATACCTGGATTATAACTGTTATATCCCTTGCCCTTGAACATGTTAACTCAAGCTAATGGGCATTTCTCCAAAACAGAGGGAGAGCACAACATTGTATTTCTTTCTTTCTTGCCTGCATTGCAGGACAACTTAGATCAGCGGTTCTCAACCTATGGGTCGCGACCCCATTTGGGGTCGATCGACCATTTCACGGGGGTCGCCAAGCTGTCCGCCATTTTTTCCCCCTTTTCCGGCAGGTGCCTTACCTCCCTTGAGCTGGGCCAGCTGGTGGTCGGCCTGCTCCGTCTCTGCCGCTTGCCAGCTACGCTTCGGCCGGCGCAGGGGGCGGAACCATGCATGCGCGGCGCTCCCGGGCAGGGAAAGTCCTTGACTTACGACCGGTTGGGTAGCCCTCGACTTACGACCAGTTTAGTCCTCGACTTACAACCGGTTGGGGGCGCGGCATTAAAAAGGTTGAGAACCACTGACTTAGATGCACAACTGGCTTTGGCCAAATCTCAGTTCTGCTCTCTTATTTCCTATAACTTGAGCAGTTTAAATGAGTAATAGCGAAAGCACAATCATTGCACCTACATTTTCTGCTTGGTTCTTCTGTCTTTCAGAACCTTGCTTTCTTCTGCTAAACCTTTGAAACTTGCATGTTGGTCCTACCCACAGTAATTTTGAGAGACTTAGAAGTTCTTTGGGAACCCATCTTCTAGTTTCTCATTCCATTATGGCAGTGCTAGGATGGGAAGATACCCAATGCTTAGACAGCATCAATTGCTCTGCTGGAATTCTCCCCCCTGCATATACTGGCAAATCATCTCCAACATCTGGAGCTGCTTTAGCTTTCATAGTTTCCCTCCATGAAACTACCATAGTTGTTGATGTAAAATGGAGGTTTCCATTCCTTTTGTTTTGCCCAGGCCTTCCCGCCAGTACCCTCAGTGAAGTCCTGCTTGAGGCTGCAATTCCTGGCACTCAAGAGCTACGGCTCCAGTTACATTTGCTGCTGTCGTGCAGCCTCTACAAGTGACTGTATTATACTGACAATCTAAAAATAAGAGAGTGAGAAAAAGCATCAAGCCAAAGCAAGAAAAAGCAAGCAATTAAAATTGGGTGGGGTTGAAGAGCACACAGGAGGAAAAATTGCAGGCTATATTGAAAAGACGTTGAGAGGCTTCAAAGAAAATGTGAAAATACCTTGGGTGGTATTTAATTGGAAGTTGTGGGTTTGCTGCCTTTTTCCAGTCTGTAGCAGCCATGCGTTCAGTCGAAGCGTTTGTCTAATCTGCATGGGAATCTGGGAAAGACAAATTGAGCTGTCAGTCCTAGGACTTTCCTCCCATCCTCCAGTTTAGTTGAGAACAGTTGCACCTTGTTTTCAGATCTGCAAGGCTCCTGTTCTAGTTCATGAGTTCTGCAAACAAATAGGATGCCATTGTGTGAAAGCTTCCTGATTGAACTTTAAGTGGAGTAAAGAAGCTTTCAGAACTTCTACTGGTAAGTTTTCATGATTTTCCCAGTTTTTTAAAAAATATCTTTCATTGGACCTAAAAATGGAGGATAATTTTGTCTAGAACAGGTCATAGCTTGATGTGAAAATGACTGATGGGGAGAATGGTTAGTCATGAATTACGGAAGCTGGAAAATAACAGTGTAAACTGAGATCAGTTCTGTGTGTGGTTCAGTTCAGTTCATTTCTCTTCTCCTTGATTTGTTCCCTTGATCAAAGTTGCAATTTAGTAAAATCATCTCTTGAAAGCTCAGTCGTTTCATCATTAATGCAGAGTTGTTCCTATGGAGGAGTCATCATTTTTTCTGCTAATTAGATTGGTGCTTGCATTTCCTACATGGCTGATGGTCCAAGCATAAGCTGTCACATGCAGGGATGAACCTTAAATAAAAAACATTAGGAAAAAACATTTTTTTCAGGGTGCCTTCTCGCGTTATAATTTCAACAAGCAGTTTAACAGGGTTGACTATTTCTTGTGAACAAGTTTCAGATCTCCTGAATATTTTTCCACTAGGAAAGTGATTGAAATTAAATGGATGCCTACTGACAGCTCTTTATCCTAAGCTTAATTTGAACAAGTTGGATAGCTTTGGATATTTACAGCAGCCATTTATTTATGAACAGGAGCATTTCTTTCTATAGTAAATGCTCTGATCATTAAAATGTGGCAGAGAAACCATGGGCTGATTCTTCCAAGATGAGGCAATGGCTTCAGTCTCAACACCCACCTTAAATGTCTGTTTTTAAGAAAAGGCAATCGAAAGACGATGGCAGAATACATGTTTCCTGGGCAAACTTGTAAATATAAGTCTTACAAGGAACATGTTCAAGGTAGAACAAGGCAGGGAAACTCTTTTTAGTGGAAAAATCACAGTTTGACAAAATAGGCAGAAACCAATGGTTTGACTCAAGGCCAAGTGAGAATTGGGGGTTGGTGATGGTGGCAGAACAATAGGTATGTCCAGATACGAAGGATCTGATCTAGAAAATAAGAAAAGGACATAGGTATAGACCAGGGGTAGTCAACCTTGGCTCTTTTATGACTCGTGGACTTCAACTCCCAGAATTCCTGAGCCAGCATAGCTGGCTCAGGAATTCTGGGAGTTGAAGTCCACGAGTCATAAAAGAGCCAACGTTGACTACCCTTGGTATAGACCATGGAATCCTCAGGGTTCAAAATGTTGATGGTTGTTTTTAATCAACTGCTCAATACCAAAGGGGTTTTGAGGACTTCCCTCATAAACTCTTTTCTAAGACAGATATCACAAGCTACCTGTTGATAGGCTTTCTAATATTTTGGATATTTATAAATGTGTGAAGCTTATCAGAGGTTGATTATTTTATGCTGAATGTTGTTGTTTAAAACACAAGGGATGAAAACCATGTAAGGGAGAGTAACACTTTCTGCTTGCCCCTTTGCCAGACTGGACCACTCACCATTTCCTGGCTGTCAGCTCATTGCAAAAGCAGCCTGAGTCCATGTTTGCCCAATTTTGATTGACAACTGCTCTTTTACCAGGGAAGCTGCCTTGAGCCCTTCAGAGCATTTGGTATCCATCTCCATTCTAGTAACATCCCCAATTCCCATTGGCTGCAGTACTGGCAGCCCTGTTCCTCTCCAGCAGCTGGTCACTGCCTCAAGCAGCCATTTTCTCTGTTGTTCAGGGCTTCAGTTTTGCAAAACAACAAACAAACCTACTTGCAGATGATATGAAGATGGCCTGTTGAGTCCAAACATTATCCTCAACCCTAGAATTGAATTCTCTGTTCAAACCATACATCTCCTACTGGGTAATCTTTCAGCTGCTGCCCAGGTTGGGTGAAGAATGCTCCCTTTGCTTTCCCATCCCCTGCTCACAGTACTAGAAAGCTTCCCTTCCTTTCTATTTCCTTTTAAATATATATTAACATTGCAATGTAGGAATGTTGCTGCTTTGCTTTTGTGAAGCTAATCTATCTTCTCTTGCTATTTATTTATTTATTTATTATTTATTGAATTTATATACCGCCCTATCTCCCTTACGGGACTCAGGGCGGTGAACAGGCGATAATAAAAACCACGATAAATATACACAAGTTT